CGACGGAGTGTCCACCGCCGGCACCGGGCACCGGGGGTGGGGGCGCAGTATCGTGAGGAGTCGTCGAATGCGCCGTCTGTTGCACCGGCAGCGCCCCAGCATAGTAGCCGCCGTTGATGCCCTCGGGGTAACTGCTGAAGAAAAGAGAAAGCGAAAAACAACATCATGGGCGAGACCTCAAAAATTTCGCGCGCCACTTTTTTTTTCATTTATGTAGTAGAGTAGCTTTTATTGTAGTGTGTAGAGTAGCTTCCAATTTTCTTTTCCGTGACTCTGTGTGTGACTTCGTTACGCTCTAAGGTTGCGCTCTAGGTGTGCTCTAGGTAGAGTAGCAATCGTTCCTCGCCAACGAGAACAGGAACGCGAGAATGCACACACAGGTCATCGCGATTCCCGAGAACGGAATCGTCTTTTTCTTTGTGTCTCTCTTTCTTTCGTTCATTTTCTATATAAGTCTCGTCTAAGCGCTTAGTCTTTATACTCTATACACACACGCATCGAGAGATTTTGTCACGCTCGACTTTCACGACCGCTTTCGGACTTTCACTCGGAAGAGAAGAGAAGTTAACATCTGCTCGAAAAGCCGTTTCTGCAAAAATTACCAGAGATACCGTGTTACTCATCACGAAATTGATCCAATGATATTTTAAGAATGTTTTCCACTAAATTTTAATCAAGGCTCCTGGCTCCTTCTCGTTTTATTACACACTTGTCATCTTCGATTATCTTCCTCTACACTTCAACAGTGTATTTTCTCTTTCTTTTTATCAGTGCAGATTCTTATTAAACAAACAAAAGATGCAATTTATTCTTTCGTGTTAAATCTTTCTTTATTCTTTATTTTCACAACTAACATTATACGCTTAAAAACTTGACATTTTTCTTACAATATTCACTCGAGATGATTTGAGTTTCAATTTTCATGAAAGATAAAGAGTCTTTGACAAAGACGAGCAATTATGAGTCAATGGCTTTGCCTTATATTTGTCTGTTTTCATTGCACTTATTCTTTTATAAATTTTTTTAAGCTCTCCATTTCTAATTTTTATTGTTCTTTTATATTTTTCTACTTTAAATCCAATTATGTTCAATAATAATATATGAAACATTAAAGAAATAAAAAAGTTTTCGCGCTCTCTTCGACGATCTTAATATAATATAATAATAATATAGTGTTAGAAACGACAAATCGGACAAATCATTTTCTCTTGCAAATCAAAGTAAATTTTCTTACGTGTTACATCTTATGTTTGAAAATATTAATAAAATACTCCAAAAACTTTCTCGTTTTAGTGCTTTCTTTCATTATCATAAATAAATCTATCATGTCTCGTATTTCTAATAAAAATAGACTTGTGATAATCATTTAAGATCCATTGTTGTTTTATCTATTGACTCACGAACAGAAAAGAATTTTCCACTAAATAGAAATCACGAAAGACGGAAAACAAAGCTGTAATTTACTTCAACATATAATACGAGAAAAAAGATTCACAAGATTATTTTGATGTCATAAATCAAGATAGTGTTACAGTGAGGGGCCAGAAGCCTTTAATACAGTAAAAAGGAGGGAGAAGAGAGCAGGCATATGTATAAAAACAAATTTTTATAGCTCGCGTTATCAGAAAAAATACAAATGATACATTCTGAGTACATTTTCATAGCTTACAATACCAGAAATATACAAATAATATATTTCTAAATCATACAACATACATCTATAGACAATCTATAGACAGTTCTTTGTATGAATTTGATCAATTTCGTGACAGTCACTGTATCCCTTTTCCCCCGGTGATTTGCAAAGAAAAAAGAAGAGAGAGGAATGTAAACATCGTGTAATATACTGCGTCGATATAACTGTATATATATAAAAATATCCGTCTACGTCTTTTTCTTCTCATTCAACAAATCGTGAGACAAACTTTTTTTATTATTATTATTATTATTATTATTATTATTATTCGAACTCTGAGAATCGGGAGGCAGGGGGAGACAGGCAAACAGGGCCTGGCTGGGGGAAGGGCGCTTACCCGGTCGAGGAAAGGAAGTATTCCTTGTTCACGCAGTTGCGCAGGCAGTCGGGTATGCGGCCGACGATCGCCCGTCGTATTTCGCTCGCCGCCATCTCACGTAACTCGGTGCAGCTTGCGTCGCTGTAGAAGGCGGCATGTGGAGTGCACAAAAGATTGGGCGCATCTTTCAATGGACCTGTATAATATATATCGCAAAATCAACGATTGAGAAAATCAGATGAGATATGTGGGAACCTAACGATATGTATGTGCCTGGCGATATTCTAGAAAATATATATAATACGGTGAAAAAATACGGTCAACTAATTAATTTATTCCTTTTATGAAAAATTCCGATTTACAAATCATTCCGACAATACAAATAACACTGATAATTCCAATAATATGCGCACAGCATTTTATATAAAAAATTACCAAAGGTTTTATATTATATAAAATTAATTTCACCATAAAATATACATCTTCATTATAATTGCTTGTCTATTTCAGAAAATCTCTCTTAATGTCATTGATATTTTTCTCTTACAAGCCATGGAAAGGAATTTGGAAAGGTAAAAAATAGTTAGTTGAGATGGGGTTAAGCATGGGGACAGATAAGACTCACACTGATTCGTAGACTGACCCTGAAAGACATTGTATGGCTCGTTTTCGTGGACATCTAGCGCTGCTGCGCGGATTCTACCCTGTTTCAGCGCTGCAGCAAGCGCGTCATCGTCCACTAAACCACCTCGCGCTGTATTGACTAAAAATGCTCCTGGTCTCATCTACAAAAAAGAATGCAAAATAATTTCTTTTTCATTTAAAACAAACATTAACAAAATAATAAAACAAAAATAAAAATTTACAAAAAAAAAAAATAATTCTTTAAAATATTCTGAATCTTATTTGCAACAAAAATTATTTCTTCTTGTAACATATTTCAAAAATGTTAAATAATTACAAGTTTTCTTATTTATTGTACATTAATCGAAGGTTTTATAAATGTTTCGTTGTCTTATAATCTTTTATGTACCTGTTTAATAGTGTATTCGTTTATTAGATGATGATTGTGTTCGTTCAAGGTACAGTGCAGAGATACACAATCTGACTGGAATAGCAAATCCTGAAACACATAAAAAAATAGCTTTGATTAATAAAAGATGATATAATAATTATTAATTCAAATATGTATTAAAAAATTTACAATTTTGTTCATGAAAATTTGTAATTTACATTAAAACATTAAACATTTCTTTACATCACTATTAAATCATTAATAGTAATCCAAGTAACTAATTTCTAAAATTTGTCACATTATACAATTTATATCTCTAAACAATTATAATAGTTGAAATTGTGTTTTTAATAACAGAAATATATTAGTACTATAATAAATCCTAATGTATCTTATAACACGTTAAGAAATTTTTCTTCAAATAAAATGTAATAGCTGAAAATGATTGTAAAAACTGATTTGTGTCATGATAATTGTAAGGATCAATGAACCTGTAGTGTGTAAACCCTAGTAAGACCTAGCGATTTTTCGATGCCATCCGGCAGGTACGGATCGTAAAAGATGACGGTGAAGCCAAACGCTTTGGCACGTAGCGCAACTGCCGAGCCAATCCTACCCAGGCCAACAATACCAAGTGTATCACCCCGTATCCTTGCACATCCAGTAGCTGCCTCTCTCACCTGAAATATGCGCCAAAATGCGCCAAAAGATTTATATCACACAAAAAATTATTCAGTCATTTTAAGCAGTACATATTGTAACTATATGTGTTCCCAAATATAAAATATAAAATTTTTAGTAAGCAATAAATTAATATAACTTTTAAAAATAATAATATTAACACGTGGCTTTAATAATAGAATATTATTCTAATAATAATAGTAATCGTATAATTAATAAAATAATACAATTAACCCTGATATAATAACATTATAACTTGGATCATTCAATCTTGCTATAATTTGGAATGCAAGGGTTCACCTGTTCTGGTCCTGTGAATTTCTTGCCTTCGCGCACCATATTCGCGAGCCAGTAGGTGCGCCGATAGAGGTTTAGAATGAGGCAAAGAGTGGTATCAGCTACCTCCTCAACGCCATAGCCTGGCACATTGCATACTGCGATACCGAGCTCACCAGCAGCCTTGACGTCGATGTTGTCCACACCAGAACCAATACGAACGATGATTCGAAGCGTCTTGAACTTTTCCAGATCCTCTTTTGTCAGGATTATCGTGTGCCACATCAGCGCGCCTACTGCTTCATTTAATACCTACAAAAATATCACATTGTAGCAATTTTTAAATGCATTATTTGTTTTAATATCGTTGCACAAAAAATAAACCTGAAACAATGAAATCTATATGTGTGTGCGTGTGTGTGTGTGTGCGTGTGTGTGTGTAATATCAAATATGTTAAATACATATATATATATATATATACATATAAAAAATAATATATATGTATAAAATGTCAGATATCAATCTATACTAAATATAATGTCAAAAATAAAATAAACTTTAACATACAAACTTTAAAAATGCAAACTTGGACGAAAATGTAAATAACATAAGTAAAATTAAAGAGATACAAAATTAAAATATTAAATAAATATGAATAGATTCATTGTACATATATTATTTATAGAAATATATGTTTGCTTCAATAACAGTGTATTTGGCTCATATTGCCTACAAATGTGTCATTTTTTGCCAAAATACATACATGAGTATGCATTTAAAATCAAATATACAATATTAACATTAAAGAACGCTAATTCTAATTAAGATTAAATAAGCTGTTGGGCTACAAATATGGAATACTTCAGAGGCTGGTAAAACTTAAATCAAATTGTGTGGAAAAAACCTCATGTCAATGTATTATAATAATGATGGCACTACATGGACAAAAAATTTTGGTAAACCAATTTGACTTGAATTTTATTCTCCAATATATCTTCTAAAGTTCTTTTAAAGAAATACTCTTCGATAATTCTAATGCACGTGGTAGTTTAACTTTAGTACAATTCTAGTGTATTCCGATTATACCTTTTCATGTATCTCCGAGGTGGACTGTGCATCGCAGAAGGCAACGGTTGCGACATCCTTGAGAATGGGCATCTCAATGGAACAGTCACGGCCATCGAGAAGTGCAACAAGCGGCCGTGTTTGTATCGGTCCATTAGCAATTGGACCCCTCAAGTTCTCCATACGAGGGCGTTTGGGCATCATCTTCCGTTTGTCCATCGGTCAGCAGACCGCCCCCCCTATTTTTATTATTTTCACTGTGCGCTCTCAGTGTCACTACAAAGAAAAATTACGACTGCCCACCCCCTTTCGGTCTTCTTCCAACTGGTAGAAGACAACAGAATTTTTTTTCAATAAGACACTCACAATGGAAGTGCCTCTTCTAGTCCAACTAATACAATGTTTCAACACTCTTCTTATTTTTTAGGCTTTGTCACACAAACTGCTTCTGCAACACTGACTTCCGGTCGGTCTTCAGGTAAGAACCGCCGAATCTCCAACGCATCACGACTCAGTAAGCACCGTCTCCTGAAATTTACAAAGAACAATTATTAATCATCAAAGAAGATAAATATATTACGCTATAATGTTATAATATATTACTATACATTGTACTATATTTTATTATTGAAATTATTAAATTCTAATAAAGTTGATTGTAATTAATCTCTTATAAATTACAACTATCTCTATTTAATGTCTCTAAAAAAAAAAAGCAACAACTTGATAAGTAATAGAAACACAGTTTACAAGACCAGCTGATATTTCTATATCAGCTATCATTATTTCTGTATAAATAGTCATGATCTACTTTAGTTATCATCTTTTTCACCATAAACTATCATAGTTTAAACTCTTTTTCAAAGTTTTCACTGTTTCCATCTCTTTCAGTACACTGCATTATCGTAATGGGAATATAGGACCAATATAGGAATTAGAATAGTTATAACAATATTAGTCCTATTTCGTTATCAAATATCAATTATTTCTCTCATATAAACGTAATTTCTATCCTAACATTATACACACATATTATTTTACATAATCAAGCCAATCATTTATAAAGAATATATTAGCTATTATAAATTACTATACTGCCACTCGTCAATAATTATTTTTTTCAAGTAGATAATAAGATGTTCCGAAATAAAGGTTTAAGTCAAAGTGAATAAACGTTACTTTACAAACACACATTGTCGCGTTGTCACCCGCGTGGAAGTAAATCTGATTCAGCCGCCTGCGGTATTCGTCAAGGCAGCGCGATGTTATTTCACATCTGTTGCGAACTCCCCGACGCCTTGTACCTTATTTACGCGAGAATACGAGTGAAATTTGTTATAATATTCGAATCCATTCAAAATGCACACGAAGCCACAAAGAAAGCGTCGCTCGGCCAAGCGTGCTCCGAACCGTTCGCTCGCCGCCACCGTCGCTGCCGCCGCTTCGCTTCGCGACTTTTTAGGTTACCTTGAAACGCGCCGGCTTAACCTGCGCAGTGCTTTAGCGCGTCCGCTAGCCAGCGGACGCGGAGAATCCAGACTCTTTACGCCCGAGCTCCGACTACGCCGGAAGGCCACGATGACGATAATGCGGATGAAACTACGTTAACTTTGCGATCCGACGTTGCGAAAACGACCCGCGAAAACGAATCGAGACGGAAATGGGAGACCCGAGGCTCTCCGTAAGCGCACGCAAGCAACGCAAAGAGGAGGAGGCGCTCGTGAGATGCGGTACGGCACGCCACAGTGGCGCTCGCTTGCTCGGGGGCGCTGGGGCTGATGTTTTCGGCAGTGTTAATAACGAGGGCGCCTCTTTTCCTGAACGCGCGTCAAGCCGTTTCCAACCCATTTCGACGGCGACGGTGATTGAAAACCGATCATAGTGTCTGTTCATAGAGGTTAGATGCATCATGTAGGAAAATGCGAGAAAATGTAACGTGAACTTTTCAATTCAGCTCAATTGTAAAATTACCGTAGAGAGAATTGTTGCAGTACAATCGTAAGTAAAAGATTATTAGAGTATTTTAATTGTTGAAGAGTTTAGATTATTTGGATTAGTGCTAAATTAGATTGCCTTAAACGACGACCACGACCAACTTTGTGCCAAAGAAACATTTAGTTTTATGCTCGATTTTCTTGAATGAATTGTCGGAATGAAAAGAACGAAAACTGGATTGATATGTAGCGTCTTCGCATAAACGTCACGGATACACAATTGTCAGAGTAGCACTTTGATTCGAGAGATACGGAGGATTGACCTCAAGCTTTATTGACTTTAGCTACTGTACCTTTGAGTCCATTAACTTTCACTTTTACCTTAGTTTTATTATCTTCAGCTTTAACTTTACTAGCTTTTGTTGCAGCTTTCTTAACTTCAACTTTATAGCACTATTATCGTTAATCTTAGCTTTATATTTATAGTTTTATTATTCTTAATGTCAGTTTTCAATTTTTTACTTTTAATCTTGGCTTCCACTTTATTAGCTTTAACGGTAGCCTTAACCTCAGCTTTATTAGCGGTTTCAGCTTTAACTTTATCATATTTAGTATAAGTTTTAACCTCAACTTCTTCAACTTTAGTTACAGCTTTAACTTGAACTTTATCAGTTAATTTTTATGCTTTGCTACTGCTTTTCAACTGCTTATTATGTGTCAAGAATATTTTTGATACCCTTAACTATTGAAAAATATCGCAAAATCACAATTAATTGCTACATATAATTTTATACATATTTATATATTATAAAATGATAGTAATTTAATTGCCGTTATCACTATTAAAAAATAATTAATGTATATAACAGATTAATGCACATTAACTTATGTTACAGGATCTACATGTTTACGTCAAAGGATCTACAAAAGCAAAAAACACTGAGATAACTCCGGAGTATTTGCATAATCATGTAAAATAATCGGTGCAACACATGCAATTGCTGAATGTATTATTTTGTATCGAAGATACTTCCAAACCCGGTGGCTTCCATTCGATAAATATTCGAATTCAAATGTTGCATCGAATGCATAACAATTGATATAACAATGTTGTAACTGCACGCAAAAATGTAATGAAATTCATCACATCATATAGGATGTTCCAAAATTTTTATTTCAACAAGAACTTTTAAAACTGTTTGAAGAACGAAAAAATGATTTGGAAATGGAATATAATCGAGAAAAAAAAATTTTGATTGATGGAAGAAATAACGATTAATACAGTATCTAGTTAAAAATTAAGTGAGATTAATATATAAAAATAAACTTTTTAAAACTATATTTATACTTATTAATTTTAATCTTATTTTCTATTGCTTTCTTTTTTCTATTTTTTCTATTTTTAAAAATTCTCTTTTCCCTATTTTTCTCTTTGGATAATTTTAATGTTATTTATTATGTTCTATAAAATATTTTCGCAAGATATAATCATCGAATTTTGAAACATGTATGTGTACATACGCGTACACGTACACACACACACACACACGCTCGCGCGCGTGTATATACATATATAAAGTGGCATGCGTAATCGGAAATGTAGTTCGCGCAAGGAAGGCTACGGAAAACGAGATCGCTGCTGGCCTCAGCGAAAGCGAACGGCGAGGACGCGACACTAACGCTATGGACTCTGCCGAGCCAAGCACTTTGACTTGGGCACATGTTGTGCCAACTCAGCGAAAACGTAAGCTCGTATCATCAAAAGCAGAGGGAGGAGGAGATATCAAGCGGGCGAGATTAAGCCCTTGTTCGACAGCTGGTAACGTATATCATGCGTTATACACGCCACGACGAAAGCACCGCATCAATGAAGTACACTTGAAAAAGAATAGTATCTTTTTATCTGTAAATTGACAGATAAACTAGACAAAATTGTCCAGATCTTTTCAATAAAACGGGATACATATGATTTGAGAGAAATTATGTTTGATAAAAATTCTATGTGTAGAACAAATATATTCCAATCTGCAACATGTATAAGTAAAATTGAAGAACTTGTTTTATTGTGCGCCAATAATATAAGAAAGATTAAAATGTGGCAAACTGCGACGAAAGTGTTTCAAAATAAATAACAATATTTCCTTACAATTGTGACTCTTTGAATTTATTTTGAGTCAACTTTTCTTATTAAAATTTTAACATATAAAATGATTGCCTGATTAGCAAAATTATCTGTGTTAAACGCTGTTATCACTGTGTAAGAAGATATACACGCATTTTTCGACAGAGTTGAATGACGCATTTCTTCCATAATTTAGATTAGTAAATGAAGAACATACCGACCCTTAAAGGGGACGCTTCAACGAAGTGGTTAAATTCAACCCTTCGGCTTAATCTCGGTATGCAACAGAGCCTTTCGACTCGGAGAGACAAAGACGGACAGATCAGTGCTTAGGACAAAGATGGAACGAGAACGACAAAGGCGGAAGAGGTGTGGGAAGAGAAAGGGGGTGAGTGGAGTTACGAACGGGATGGGGCGCTATGAGGGCGAAGTTATCCAATTATTGTCTAACCTGGGAGCAACTTTACTAGGCGGAGAACTCGTGGGTGGTAGGAAAGGGAGAGGGGAAGCTCGGTCCTGCCGGGTCTCTCCCACCTCCTACAATCGAGCCACGATAAAGTAAAGTTTGTTTCAAAACTTGCCGCTTCTGCGGAGAGAAAGAGAAAGAGAGAGGCAAGTGACTGGGTTTTTGTTGGTGACACGTGAAATTCAAACGACTTCGCTTCGCGACAATAATTGAAGTGAGCTTTTTTTTGCACGATTGGGATGTAATGGAACAAGAATGTACATTCTGAATTGTTCAATTGAAGATAAATTCTCGTCTCTCAGTTTGGAATCAATTTATTCATTTATCCGTATATATAGTCTATCGAAATCTTTAGATTTTTCAAGATTAACTTGCAAAAATTTCTACATTCTTAACATTTACATTCTTATTATTCTTAGAATCTCACGGTTAAATTGTAAAAATTTCTGAATTCCTGCGGTTAATGCGTGAAGATCTCCAAGTTTTTAAAGTCAATTTCACAAAGATCGCTCATATTCAACTTTCTTCAAGAAAGAAAGAGACACTTCAAGATAATTCTTTAATCAAGATTCATACAAGAAACATCACTGTGTTTAACCAAAGTGTCTGTTTTGTGTGTTTAAAACTATCGATTTTAAATTCGTCAAGAATTATTTGCATCATGCAGGGATATAACGTCAACAACGTCATATTTTGTATTAATTTTTTTTAAGAATAATTTACTATATCGTACATGAAAAGATTTTGATAGAGAGAAAAAGAGAAGAGATGAGAGGTAAGGGGGATGAAGAGAAAAACAAGCGGAGGATAAGGAAGTCGTCCAATTATGACGACGAGTATCGGTGTCGGTAGTTCGGCCATTCTCGTCCTCTCGAGAGGGAGGAAAAGGGATTTTGGAGGGGTTGTTGCTCTCCGCTCACCGTACCTTCCGTCTCAGAGCGAACGGCCAAGGAAGGGATGTTGAAGGGGAGAAGGGGAGGCGACTACTTAAAGTTGGTGGAAAGTT